TCTGGTATGCAGAGAGCACTCCTTAGAAGACAGTCTTATGACCTGCTTCAGGCAAGAGGGGAGGGGAAGGTCAGAGAACTTCCTGCTTCTGCCATTTTCTCAAACTCCTTCAGCTTAAAAATATTCAATATGCCATGGTGCCATATTTTGGACTACTGTGCTCTGAATCCCATTGGTGGGTTGTTAAGCAGACATTATTAAATATTAAATTATATAAACTTACAATTAAATAAACTATATTTAAAAAAGGTAATAGGTTGGGGCCCCTGGTTGGCTCAGCCGGTTAAGCGTCTGCCTTCGGCTCAGGTCATGATCGCAGGGTCCTGGGATTGAACCCCATGTCAGGGTCTCTGCTCAGTGGAGAGCTTGCTTCTCCCTCTCCCTGCTGCTCGCCCTGCTTGTACTTTCTCTCTGTCAAATAAATAAATAAAATCTTTTTTAAAAAAAGGTAATAGGTATTCAAAACTCATCCCTTTTTAATTACTACATTAACCATTAACTGTGTTCTTTTTTTTTTTTAAGATTTATTTATTTTAGAGGGAGAGAGAGAGAACAAGTGGGAAGAGGGGCAGAGGGAGAGAATCTTCAAGCTGACTCCCCAATGGCTTCAGAGCCCTATGTGGGGCTCGATCTCATGACCCATGAGATCATGATCTGAGCTGAAACCAAGAGTCCCTTGCTTCTGACTGCACCACCCAGGTGCCCCTGTATTCTCTCTTTTTTTTTTTTTTTTTGAAGATTTATTTATTTATTTATTTGACAGAGAGAGAGACACACACAGCGAGAGCAGGAACACAAGCAGGGGGAGTGGGAGAGGGAGAAGCAGGCTTCCCGCGGAGCAGGGAGCCCGATGTGGGGCTCGATCCCAGGCATGACCTGAGCCGAAGGCAGACGCTTAACTGACTGAGCCACCCAGGCGCCCCGCCCCTGTATTCTTTTAACGAAAGATTTTTTTAATTTGGGTATAGTTGACACACAGTGTTACTGTTTCATGTGTACAACATTGTGATTCAGCTACTCCATGTGTTATGTTATGCTCCTCGCAAGTGTAGCTATCTTTTGCCACCATACATTGCTTTTCCAGTATCATTGACTGTATGCCTTGTGCTTTGCCTTTTATTACTGAGTAAGGGACAAGTGGGGCTAGGTAGGGAGAGAGAGATAGGGGGCTATGTGATCAGGCTCACAGAAATCCCAAAAACGTGGATGTGCGGGGAAACCAGAGATAAAGGGACAAATTGGACCACCCTACCCTAGGCGTGTGGGGTGGGTGTCTTTTTATGACAATCATCTATGACCAACAAAGAATAACCAGACCCTAAAAAAGGATATAAGCCATTGAAGGTGTTATCACAAGTCCTTGTTCAATGGTGATATCAATAGAAGTATTGAAAGCATTTAAGTTCCCTGTTTAGCTTTCTATAAAAGACCAACCCTAAAGGCCCTCGTGGCAACCCTGTAGGGACTTTCTCACTCTTGAGAGCTTTTTCTGTCTTCACTTAATAATTAAACTTCTATTGCTTTACTCACTCTCCGTTGTCCATGAGATTCATTCTTTGACTCCGTAAGACAAGAACCTAGCTCTCCCACTTCATGACTGTAACTAATTCACTGGAAGCCTATTATCTTCCATTCCCCTTCACCCATTTTGCCCATCCAACCACCCACCTTTGCTCTGGCAACCATCAATTGGTTTTCTGTATTTATAGATCTGCTTCTGCTTTTTGTTTATTCATTGTTTTTTACATTCCACATATGAGTGAAATCATATGGTATTTGTCTTTCTCCGTCTGACCTGTTTCACTTAGCATGCTCTCTAGTTCCATCCATGTTGTCTCAAATGCCACAATCTAGTCTTTTTTTTTTTTTTTTAAAGATTTTATTTATTTATTTGACAGAGAGAGACACAGCAAGAGAGGGAACACAAGCAGGGGGAGTGGGGGAGGGAGAAGCAGGCTCCCCGCAGAGCAGGGAGCCCGATGCGGGGCTCGATCCCAGGACCCTGGGACCATGACCTGAGCCGAAGGCAGACGCTTAACGACTGAGCCACCCAGGCGCCCCACAATCTAGTCTTTTTTTATGGCTGTGGAATATTCCATTACATATATGTTGCAGGATTTCTTTTCCTTTAGTACCTGCGGTTCTTGGTCACACTGCTTCAAAGAATGAAGAGGTAAACCAGACAAAGAGTGGTGGATAGCAAAGCAAAGTTTATTGAGCCATAGTACAAAGCTCCTGAAGAGGGAGGGGACCCGAGAGGGTTGCTTGTTTGACGCTTAAATCTAGGGGTTTTATGGGCTCTCTGGTGTGGGCTCTTTTAATCTGATTAACCCTCCACGCACCTGTCATCCAATCAGGTTTTTGTCCACACGCTCATCTACCTATCAGGTAGTTGTTCCTATGGGAAAGGGTGGGGGGCTCTTTCTAGGGTGGTGTTCTGGGACCAAGAGGGCGGTGGCCACCACTGCCAGAAAGCATGCCGGCCAGCTACAGGCTGCCAGATCCAGCTCTTTGTTTAAATTCCCAATTGGCCGGGGCGCCTGGGTGGCTCAGTCGGTTAAGTGTGTCTGCCTTTGGCTCAGGTCATGATCCTGGGGTCCTGGGATTGAGCCCCACATCAGGCTCCCCGCTTTCCCCTCCTCAAATAAATATATAAAATCTTAAAAAAAAAAATCCCACTGGCTTTTGAGCTGGCCCCCTGGGCCTGGGTTAGGACACTCAAGGCCATTCCCTTCCTTTCTGTTACAGATAAGCTGTAAGTCCTCCCAGGACATAAAGCTGGGGCATTGAGTAGAGACTAGAATAACAGGATGGGGTCTTTTTCCTTCTAAGGGTAGTTTCCTCTTAGGGTGGGGGAGAGGCCCTTGTCCCTGCTTGCCTTTCTTCCAACTATCCTTTGTTATATATGTATACATATATGTTTATATATGTGTGTGTGTGTGTATACACACAATATCTTCCTTATCCGTTTGATGAGCACTTAGGTTGCTTCCATATACTGGTTATTATAAATAATGCTACAATAAACATAGGGGTGCATATATCTTTTTGAGTTAGTGTTTTCATTTTCTTTGGGTAAATACTTAATAGTGGAATTATTGAATTGCATGGTAGTTCTATTTTTAACTTTTTGAGTAACCTCCATACTGTTTTCCACAGTGGCTGCAGCAATTTACATTCCTACCAAGTGTATGTACCATACTGTTTTGATTATGATAGCTTCGTAGTATATCTTGAAATCTAGAATTTGTGATACCTCCAGCTTCGTTACTTCTCAAGATTGCATTGACTCCATTAACTATGTTCTTGCAGTCATGTCTACTACATGTGGATGGTAGAGATACCACACAGTGGCGCATTTTTTAAAAGATTTTATTTATTTATTCGTCAGAGACAGAGAAAGAGAGAGCGTACAAGCAGGAGAAGCAGGGGGGAATGGCAGTGGGAGAGAGAGAAGCAGGCTCCTTAGCAGGGAGCCTGCTGCAGGACTCGATCCCAGGACCCTGGGATCATGAGCTGAGCCGAAGGCAGGTGCTTAACCAACTGAGCCACCCAGGCATTTTTGCGCATGTCTTTCACCCCTCCATGGTTAGTGACATCACTTTGGTAGTTTGAAATTGGCTGTGGTGGGAGTATTCACGCGACAGAGACTGCAATCATTAGACATCAGGGCCTTGTTTTGGTGGTTTTTTTAGAAGGAGGGCTGTTTGTTAACCATTTGCGAGCCCACTGCTCTATTCGGTGGACCAGTGGTGAGACGGCCTTAAACTAAGCATGACAGTTCACAGGAACAGGAGAGAAGGCAGGGCATTTGGACAGATGAGTAGACAGATGTGGTAGAGAGAGGTTTCCTAATCACTAAGTAAAAAAGGAAGCAAGGAAGTCATCTGAGAATAAGCTGGGAAGGAAGTGTTGGGGGTTTGAGGTGAGAAGACTGTGGGACAGTTAGTGGATGAGAGAAATGTAGTTTTTTTTTTTTTTTTTTTTTTTGGTCTAGCACCATTAAAAGGCCCCTTGAGGTTAGTGGTTATGAATTTAAAATGAGACCAGTTAGGATGGGTGTGTATTTGTCTCCAGTCTCTTGCAGTGGCGCGAGTGAAGCCCTGAGTAATGGGGAGCTGGATTTACCCCAGTGTATGGTTTTGCAATCCTAGGATGACCTTGCGTGTCAGTAGCAAGCAAGATTATAAAACTATAAATGTGAAAGTCACCACCTCCGAGACCTTCCTCATTCATCCTAGCTAAAATCAGGCCCCACCCCCATACCTTTAATCCATTATCCTGTTCGTTTTCCTATTTAGTTTACTGGATGTCAAATCGCCTGGCTGACCCACGTACCTGCCAGCAGGGACCATGCTTTATTTACTACTGAATGTGCAGTGCCTACCACAGTGCTTGGCCCAGAGTAGATGCTCAGTAAGCGATACGTTGAATAACTTATTGAATAAATGGATTCACTTGCTCCTTCTTGCAAAATCTGTACAGTCCAGTGAAAAGTACTCAAATTCTTTTCCTGTCCCTTTGTTCCTTGCTCCATGGTGTTTCAGTTTTGAGGGGCATAGGAATTTCCTTACAGGGTCGGATGTGCTAAGCCACGGTTCTTTATGAACACTCCCAGGGCATACAGGCAGTTTTTCCTAGAGGCCCAACTTACAGCTTTTGAGGCAGCGGCCCAGGTCGTGTGTGTCATGCAGTTGCTGACCTTTGTCACATAGGAGGCAGCAACACGGAGGAGGGTTATATTACAACCCAAACTTGGAGGGCGGGTAGTTTCCGTATTTATGATCACTTTTCTTAGGGCTGCTGAGTCCGAAGCTCAGGCGAGGTGACGACAGAACAGCCCGCGTCCGGGGGTCCAGGCTGCAGAGCGCGGGGCCGGGCCGGGCCGCTCCGAGTGCCTGCAGTGCCCAGAGCTCCGGGGCCGCGCCCGGGCCTCCCGCCGCCCACACACCGCGGTGGCGGAAGGGGGCGGGGCGCGACCGCCTGTCTGGCCTCCGGGAGGACAATAAAGTTTCGAAAGTTTGAAAAGGGAGGGAAAAAACCCCCCACGCCCCTTTGGCCCGGCGGGTGTGGACGCCTGCGGCTGCGGCACAGCCGGCACCTGGCGTGCGGGGATGGGGGTCACGGTGGACGTGCGCCAGGTGTACAAGTACCCCTTCGAGCAGGTGGTCGCCAGCTTCCTCCGCAAGGTACCCGCCCGCTCCGGCCCCGGGCCACCCCGACCCCGCCCAGCTGTCCGCGCTCCCGGGCCCCCGCCCCCGGCCCCCGGCCCCCGCCCCCGCCCCCGGCCCCCGGCCCCCGCCCCCCGGCCCCGCCCCCGCCCCCCGGCCCCCGGCCCCGCCCCCGCCCCCCCGGCCCCCGCCCCCCGGCCCCCGGCCCCCGCCCCCGGCCCCCGGCCCCCGGCCCCGCCCCCGCCCCCGCCCCCGCCCCCGGCCCCCGGCCCCCGCCCCCGGCCCCCGCCCCCGCCCCCGCGGGGTCCGCGCCCGCGCTCTCGCGCCGCAGCTGCGGGGTTGGCCTCGGGATGTGCGGGGCGGGGGTGGAAGTGGATTTCCTCGAGGGCTTCCTACCCCTCCCTGGAAAGAGGGGAAGGTTCCGTGCGCGGTAGCACGTTCACAGGCGTAGGGAATACAAGTTCTGGAGCCTGGTTGAAGTTGCGCATGACTTGTGGATCTTTCTAGTACATCTTGGACCACCCCCCCCATAAAAGCCAGTGGGAGCCGTGGAAGCGATCCCCCTAGTTTACTCAGCATTGTCGCTCTACCACCTCGCTACTTTCTTTTTTATGAAACGGCTGTGGGACTTGGGGCAGGTAGCTTACGCTCTCTGTGCCTTAGTTTTTTGATCTGTGAAATGGGGGAAATGAAAGTACTAACGCGAAGGGCTGGTTGTGAGGAATCAAGTGAGATGGTTCACGTAAGCGCTGAGACTGAAATGTTATAGTTGTTTGTACTACTATACCTGCACCCTAGGCTCAATATTCAGTGGTCCTCTTTATCCCAGGGGCGCTTCCTAGGACTGTGCTCGTGGTAGAAGAATCGGAAGTCTCTTTGAGAAATCGAGAGCACCCAGGCCTGGGAGCTGAGACTCCTGAACTGTAGTCTGTCTCTGCCTTTAGTTACTTCATTTGGTCAAGGGTCATCTTCTCTTCAGGCCTCGCTTTCTGCATCTAAGATAAGAGTCTTGTATCAGAAGGTATTTTAGGTTCCCCTTCAGCTTCCACTTTTTAAAGTAAGATTTGCAAGAACTGTAGTTTGCCTGGACAGCGGCCACCAGACAATGTGCTCCATGTATAACCCAGAAGCAAAACAGAGATGCTGGGAGAGGAAGTCAGTTTTTTAAGTGATAAGACCGGACCCCCATTAGAGGAAGTGATGTGGTTGGGGACCCAGTCACAAGGATTGGTTAGGACGCTGGTTAACGTGGTGTTGCCATAGAGGCTTTTTTCCCCCCTTCTTTTTCAGGAGAATGTCAGCTTGTTGATATTTTTCATTGATCTTCAGTATCTAGAATAGTGCCTACCACCTAGTAGGTGCTCAGTAAAAACTGGTAAATGATGAATGAATAAATGAATGAAAGAATGAATTGTGGATCTGGTGGGGATTTTGCCTTAGGCCAGACTTCTGGACCCAAAGGAGAAACAGTTAACACTCCATTTTTAAAAAAACTTTTTAAAATTTGATTTGATTTAATTTTATTATGTTAGTCACCATACAGTACATCATTAGTTTTTGACGTAGTGATCCACAATTCATTGTTTTCGTCTAACACCCAGTGCTCCATGCAGTACATGCCCTCCTTAATATCCATCACCGGGCTACCCCATCCCTACACCCCCCTCCCTCTAGAACCCTCAGTTTGTTTCTCAGAGTCCATAGTCTCTCATGGTTCATCTCTCCCTCCTATTTCCTCCCCTTCATTTTTCCCTTCCTTCTCATGTCCTCCATGCTATTCCTTATGTTCCACAAATAAGTGAAACCATATGATAATTGACTTTCTCTGCTTGACTTATTTCACTTAGCATAATCTCCTCCAGTCCCATCCATGTTGATGTAAAAGTTGGGTACTCATCCTTTCTGATGGCTAATATTCCATTGTATATATGGACCACATCTTCTTTATCCATTCGTCTGTTGAAGTACATCTCGGCTCTTTCCACAGTTCAGCTATTGCGGACATTGCTGCTGTGAACATTGGGGTGCATATGGCCCTTCTTTTCACTACATCTAACACTCCATTTTTTATTAGGTCTGACAGTCTGGAGGGTGGATTCTCTAATGTCACTGCTCCCCTGGAATGCCTTTCTGGATTATCCTTATCAAGAACTGATCTCCGTCTTGTCAGAACTGGAGGAGCACTTGACCTAGGCATCACTGACTATCTTCTGCAGTGTTGGGTAGTTACTTCTGCACATACCTTTTTCCCTCATGAGACCCTAAGCTTCTTGGGGGCAGGACTCATTCCTGCAGAAGCACATAGCACAATGCCAAGCTCTCTTTTCGAGGGTACTTGGCATGTGGTCATGCTTCTGGGCTAAATGCTTTTCTTTCATTCAACAGGTGTTTAGAGATACTTTTCTTCTGTGTGCCAGGCTCGGGGCTAGGGCCCAGCAGATAGACCCTCTTCTCATGGAGCTGATGGTCTCTAGTGGGGGAGACTGATGTTAATAAATGAACAACTAATGAACACATACTTAAAATTGATGATGTGTATTTACACAGAGAAAGTTCATGTTGCTGGGACCAAATATAGCAGGGAAGGGCTGCTAAAGTCCCCCAAGGTTACCATTAGAAAAGCCTTTCTTGAAAAAGTGGCCTTTGTCAAATGATGGCTGAAGTGTGAATAGGAGTTTCTTAGGGAAGAAGGGAGGGGGAGGAAGAGTGCTTTCATACATTATCCTGTTTACTCCGTCCAGCAGCAGTGGGAAGGACTTAGGACCTATTTCCATTTACTACCTAGAGAAACTGAGGTTCAGAGAAGTTTAAACAACTTTTCCAAGTTCCCACAGCCAGCAGTTGGGAGATCCAGGATTTCAGCACATCCAAAATCTCAACCCCTAGTCCCCAGGCTGTGCTGCCTGCCACATAATAGGCACTCAGATGGTTATTGAGGGAATAAAATGTTCCAGAATCATCTTTGCTGTGCTCTTTATCCCATCTCAGTTTTCCTTTGTCTAGTCTTCTCTCACAGTTTATTCATCTTGAACCCTTTGTGCCTGATGTAAGGGTATAGTAGGGATGTGTGCTAAGGTGAGAAAATACAGTGTTTCAGTTTTCTGTTGCTCTGTAACAAATCGCCCCTGTGATTTAGTGGATTAAACCAATGGTAGACTTTTGGGTCTCAGGATTCTGTGGGTTGACTGGGCTCAGCTGACTGGTTTTTGTGTGCCATATGTTACAGCTGAGGTCATTTATAGAGCTGCATTCAGTGACAATGTGTTAGAATTCTTATAAAACACTTAGCCAAGTGCCTGACACATAGTAAATAGGATATTTTGGAAGGTAGGGCTAGGGAAAGAATATTTTCAGAAAAGGCCTAGCGGTAGGACAATGCAAACACTATGGGTGACACCACACTTCCGTTATTTTTATTCACAAAGCAATGCCTCAGAGGGGCTGTGTGAGTCAATAAAGTCTGAGATGTCGGTAAAGCCACTTGCTGTGAGCATTTCACCTTACATTTCTTAAAGCCATGAACTGGAAGTCAGTAGATCTGGATTCTAATCATTGTGCTTTCCCCATTAAAAGCAGTTTTTGGGTGGCCTTGGGACACAGTTTTTGCCAGTCTGTACTGTGCCCATGTGCAAATTAGAAAGAGACCTCATCTAGATGGTGGACTCCACAAGCTCACAGTCAATGGGGCTAGTGGAAAGGAAATGAGGCTATTTATGCCAATTAGCAAGAGGGGCTGTTACCCAGTCAGGCTCTTGAGCTGTCTAAGCCCTAGAAATGCGGGCTGAGCGGGAGTTCCAGGCAAGGCTTTATCAGGGCTTAATGCTCCAGTACAGGGGAGACAGAATAAAGATTCTGCAGTCTGGCTCCCCAAGGAGAGGTCTCGGAGAGTTTTAAGGAGGCTTAGGCTGGAAAAGGGTCATCAGTGGGGTCCATCTTGGCTTAGATTGGTTCGGTTTTCACGCCAGGCATTCCTTTTAGGCGCTGGAGGGTTTGCACAGTGTCTGAAGTGGATCAGACTGGTTGAAAACTGGGTGAGGGGGGCTTGTTTGGAGCTTGTGGCTCCTGGCATCTGGCTTTAGTTTCTCATGGCAAGCAACACCTGCTCACAGGGCTAGAAAGCTGGGTTATTGTGGTTTCTTAGCCAGTTCCTGGGTGTGGGGACCCAAGTCTGGTCGCTGCTCTGTCTCAGCACTCCTTCCACTAGGTGGCTGGGTAGCCCTGTGCCCCCTGGCCTCCTTGACCGGAAGACCTTGTGCAGTGAGCAACATGCACAACTGTACATGACAACCCTACCGTCTTCATTTTGTGTCTGTGAAACAATAATGCCATGTACCTCATCTCCCAGGATTGTTGTGAGGATCAAATGTGTAAGAGTTTGACAAGCATAAGCTTTTTATAAGTGTAAGGTAGTAAGAATGATCTTTGCGGCTAAATATACTTTTATTTTTCTTTTAGTCTTTATGTATTTTTTTCAAAGGAAGGCACTTGGCAGAAGGGACAATCATATGAGGATCTCTGGAAGCATTTAATCTGATTTTGCACAATGGTATGTTTGAAGCTGTTTCAGCACTGAGGATGTTCTATTTTAAATAGAGTCTACTGATCTACGTCTTTTGGTATGTTAGGACTTGCCTTCCAAGTTATTATATACTACTATTTTTAAAACCTGAGGAATGTTTGCTCTTCTTACACCTGCCTGTTGGATACCACAGGCAAAATATTAGCTACATGCTTTCAAAGCTAAGTGGCACCTTGAAAACAAACACCACAGAACTCTTTGTTCATGGAATACAGTGTTTCTCAATGAACCCTTCATGGAGGAATGCTATGAGACCCAAAATGGTTTATTCATCAGGTGCTAAACTGTAGTTTCCATGCACTACATTGTCAGTGCACCTGACAGTGCATTCAGGCTGCTTTCTTTGTATGACTTAGCTTTCTAGCTCTTATCACTTACAGCTGTTTCCTTCCTTTTACTTAAAACCACCCACAAAGAGCAGACAGGGTTGCCTGGATGC